CTTATTCCTCAGTAACAAAACCAGGAAGGAACATCCAAAGAAATTGACACTCATATTGCAACATCCACAAAATTTGATATAGATGAACCCGGTTCATCTGTTGATCAGAAGTTGTAGAGGGGAATGATTGGTTCTCTTTTGTATCTTACTGCTAGCAGACCTGACATTGTTTTCAGTATAGGTCTTTGTGCTCGATTTCAGGCAAATCCAAAGAAGTCCCACTTGACTGCTGAAGCGGAGTATGTTGTTGCTGCTTCATGTTGTGCTCAATTGTTGTGGATCAAACAGCCATTATTGAACTTTGAAATTGATGTTGGTTGCATCCCTATTTTTGTGATAACACTAGTGCTATTAGTATGACAAAGAACCCGGTTCATCATAAGAGAACTAAGCACATAGATGTTAGGCACCATTTTTTGAGGGACAACTATGAGAAAGGCTTGACCACTGTGGAGTTTTGTGCTACTAACAAGCAAATTGCTGACATCTTCACAAAAGCCTTAAGTAGAGATCACTTTGAGAGGAACAGGTTGGAATTAGGGATGATTAAGATCACCTAAAAGGACCAGTTCAAGGTTAAACGGAAAAAAATGAAAAAAAATTGAAAAAAAATATTGGTTAGAAAGTCTGTAAATTGTGTATAAGTAGATTAAATCTTGCTCAATCTCATACTTTCCATAGTATACTCTTGTGCCATGTGTTAAAATGACTCATTAATCTCTAATGATATTTTCTCTATTTTGGCAAATTTAGACTCACACAAGAGAATTATCACTGAAGAACATGGTTCATCAAGATAACACGGTATGTTTTCTACACTCTGCATAATTTGAAATAACTATATTTAGATCATGAGGAGAGTCCTACCAAATACCAAACTCCTTTTGGACTTATCTATTACAAGTGAACCAATCCCGTTCAAAAGAGTCCCAACCGAATGGAAGTACCTAGATTCTAGGGATACACTCCGACGTCTCTTCAAAGTTGAATTTCAGTTTGATTAAACTTCTAAGAGTCTGAAAAGCTGTAGTTACCCCATCAATTATTCCCCTATATATTGATCAGCTTTAGTGTATTCCTTACTTCATCTCTCTCAAGCCATCAAAAACTCTCATTCTTCTTTCATCTTCCAAACACAATCTAATTCTCTTCTACTCCATACCCCAGCCCAGATATGTCAAACACCTCTGAAAATCCTTCATCACCACCACAGGAAATCACTTTCACACCTTCTACCACACCAATCTCTAAGAAAAGTAGAGCAAAGAAGATGGCTCATAAGATTGTCGCTGAAGGAGAGCATATCAAGAAAATAAACAAGCAATTGAAAGCAGGTAGGGAAGAAGAATCCCAGAAATCTGAAGATTCATTTAAGTCTGCTACTAAGGGGGGAAGAAAGTAGGTATTCCGAAACTGAACAGGTATCTTCTGATTCTAACGTTACTCCTGAGATAATTTCTGAAGTTGCTGCAAATTTAGAGAATAGATTTGTACTGGTAGGATCTATAGCAGGTGTTGAGACTACAGAATTTGGAGAAGTTGGTGGTAAAAATAAAAAGGAAAAGAAAAAGAGAGCAAGAGTGCTAGGAGTACTGTGAGGGGAAAGGGTACAAGAGTGGCTGATTCTTCACCCACTCCTGTTGGTCTAACAAAAGAAACTGAGGCAATGGTTGTTTGGGGAGAGGAATTTACTAAAATAGAAGAGAGTGTGAGCAAAATAAAGGGAAGTGGGTCTGGCGAAGCTGCTGAGGGGTTGGTTCAACTTGAGAAAAATATAGATGAACTCGTTCCATCTGAACAGGAAACCCTCGTGGACCTACTGATAGGGTTATCAATGGCACCAAAACTCATGCCATTCCCTATGGCTTCATTCTCACAACTGTACTTGCACAATTCAAGGTACCTATGAAGAAGTGGGAGATTAGTACAAGCAAGGATCATTTGGGGTTAATACACTGCTTGCTTGCGATTATGAAGTCAATGTCACTCCTAAAGAACCTAGTTCATCCAAAAAGGTACCAGTAAATAGCAAGGTCAAAGCCTTGGTACAAGAAAGTGGGGCTAAGGATGCTGAGATTGAAAGGCTGAAGAAGAGGTTGGTTGAGGTGGAGACTAAGAGAGATGCTCTCAGAACTGAGCTGGCAAGAGAAAAAGAGAACAATGATGGCATTCTTCAAGGTATGTTGAAACTCCTCCAAGTCAAAAACCAAGCACCTAGTTCTTTCCAGCCTTAAGCTTCCTAGCCTAGTGTATATTAACCAGTGACCCAGTTCGGGACTTATTGTTTCTTTTGCTCATGTTTTCAGTATTTTTATTTCTTCTTATGCTTTGTGGTAGAATCTTATCAATCATCAATGAAATTCACTATTTTTGCTCTAACTGTTTGTTTATATTTCTTTGATGGTTGAAATTCTTAGCTTGATCTATGATGATTAATTCATGATTGCATTTGAAGTAGCCCCAGTGGCCATGAGTAAGTTTTAATGCAACTTTTATGCATTTTATCTCACATTTTATGCAACTTCTCGATGATGAAAAAAGGAAGAAAAAGGTTGGTGCTTTACACTTTGAACAGTGATGTTTATAACCTAATGTACCTGGTCCTTGATGATAAATAATAAAAAGAAAAAACGTTTCTAACATTGTGTTGATGTTGAGCTGAGTTGAAACAGGGACTAAGCGTATGAAAAGCATAGAGTTTGTCATCACCAAAAAGGGAGAATTTGTTGGCCCAAGTAAAGGTTAGTTTTGAAGACTGACAAAGGAACTCAGGCATGAACCAGGTCCATCCCGCAGGTCCATCCCTCAGGTGCACACAAATGGGCAAATTCGAGCATGTGGGATGCACGTGAAGGAGATAAGCCTAACTTGGTGTATTTAATATCTCCTGATCGAAAAGGTTGTATAATTGATAAGGAGAAGGACTCCTTACTCAAAGAGAACACTATCCAAGATAGGGAAGGAGTTAGAAGTTGAAATCAACTAGAACTATTCCACCAAGGAAGAGTTGCATCAGAACTCTAGTTATTTCTTCATCTACTAACTCTATAAATTGCAGGATGTTCTCACATTACATTGTTGCACAAAAAAGCAAAAGCTAAACGTGAATTGAGAGCAAAATAGCAAGGCTTTTTGCAAGCAGCTCGTGTGTGATTCAAGTGAGCAAACCTGAAGCTACATGAACCAGATTGAAGAGCCAGCTCCATAAAGAGTTTTATGTGTCTTTCTTTATTTCTAGTTTAATTGTAGTAGGTGTTTTATATTGTACCTTTCAGCTTTATCTAGAGGCAATTGTAATAGGTACTCAGAGTATTCAAGTTAGAGTTAACTTGAAGTTGTCGCAGCAGTTAGAGGCTGTGTGCTACAACGGGATTAGAGTTAATCCTAGGTTTACAAAAGAGTTTTTGCAAATGCTGTTTTGGCTTAGTGATTTAGTGAAGTGTTGGGGAAAATCCTACTGAGTAGTAGGTTGTGGTTTTTTCACCTTTTGAGCCAGGTGTTTTCCACGTAAAATCTTTGGGTTCTTTATTTTCTATTTTTATTCTGCAACAGTAGTAGTTGGAACACATAGAAGAACCAGGTCCTTCCATAATCAGTTTAAGCGAAACATTTGACACCACACAAATCCTCCCCCCCCCCCCCTTGTGTGGTATTGAAGTATAAAACATCACACCTATATTGAGAAAGTTGGCCTTCCAAGAGGTAAGTCTACTCCGCATGTTATCAATTATATATTAATAGTCTATTGGTTTTGAATTTTTGTCGAGGATTGGAAATCCTAAATATTTTCCAAAAGTTTGACTTATGTTGATGTTGAATCTACTAGCAACATCTTTGGTAATATTTGGTTGGCAAGTTTTTGAGAAAAGAATCTTGGATTTTTGAAGGTTGATACTTTGGCCTGATAGTTTACAAAAGAGGGAAAAGTTGTTCTTAATGGAGTTACATGATTCATTTACCCTAGCCATTAATGTAAGGTCGTCCGCAAAAAATAAATGAGATATGCATGTATCTCTTGTGCTTAGGTGGATAGTGTCCCATTGGCAAGTGTCTACTTTATGGGAAATAAGAAGGGAGAACATATCCATACAAAGTATGAAAATATAAGGAGAGAGGGGGCACCCTTTTCTAATACCTCTACTAGGGCTAAAGAAATTGGTGGTGGTTCCATTGACCAAGATTGCAATTTACCTGTACAGATACAGTGCACAATAACTTAGAGATAGATGGAGAAAAATTGAAGAAATTTAGGGTACGGTGGATGAATGACCATTCAAGCCTATCGAATGTCTTTTCTTAGTCAAGTTTGAGGATCGTGTTAGCCTTTTTCTCTTTCAGATTTCCGAATTTGTTGACAATTTCCTGGATGATAATAGCATTTTCACTGGTTCTCCTTCCCTTATGAAACTAGATTGGAATGGGCTAACAAGATTATTAAGAAACGGTTTTACTCTGTTTGCTATGATTTTAGTGATTACTTTGTAGATCATATTGCAAAGTCCTATAGGACCAAAAGAAAACTTTAAATTATTTGCGTTATGAATTTTTGGGAATACATACATGTTAATGTTTTTTATGACAAAAATGTTCTTTTGTAAATATTCAATTGTTTTGAAGTATATACAATTATACATTTAAAATTTACTTTTTAAAATATTTCATATCAAAAGAAGAAAAAAATATTGAAAGTTGGTTTCCGCTAAGAGTTTCAAACTTTAATTCACACCTCTTACACATTATATCCAAATGTAATACTTAAAAAAAGTCGAAATTTTATCTCGATGCTTTATCAACCTGGGACGAGATCATAAAAATAGTTTCTAGAGCTAATAACTGATACAAACATCTCATTAAAATGAAAGGGGTCAAATAATAAATATCGGTTCTTGAGGGGGTTAACATTTCATGATTAAGCTACTCTTGCCCCTCGCCGAGAATATAATTAACGTAAACGAGATCCGTATCTAAACGACGCCGTATTTCTCGAACTTATATATACGATTACTAGGGTTTCGGCTTCTGAACCGTCAATCGTAAAACCCTCAATTTGTTGGGAAAAATGGGAGGAAAGTGTCCTCACCGGAGCGTGAAGAAGCGAAGGTACTCCCACAAACAATTTCGCCGCACCAAATTCCTTGTGAAAGGCGACGATGCCGTTTTTGATGAACTCAAACGGCCGGAAGGGGAACGAAAACCGTTGCCCGTCGACGAAGATCTTCCCGGGATGGGACAATATTACTGTTTCCACTGCGAGTAATTCCAACTTCCTTACAACTCAATTAGTTGATTTTTTAATTCAACTTAACACATTTTTGTTCCTTTGTTCTATGTTTGCTTATAAATGTCCTTTTTTTTTGTCTTGCCAATTCTATCAGTCGTTATTTTGCAAATGTTACGGTGAGAGACGAACATTTCAAGACCAAAAAGCACAGGAAGCGGTATGATTATGTTTTTCAGTGAATTCAGTTTCTTTTTCTATATGTATAATTGTTAATATTGGTTCGCGTGAGTCAAATTTTAATTTTAATTTTATTTCTCTGAGGTAATGGAGCTCAAAGCTGATTCTATGAGTCTTAACTCCTAGATTGTGTGTGTGTATAAGTAGTGTGAGATTTAGAGTACTCTATTTTTAAGACAATCCTTCTAACATGAAGGATATCTTTACAAATTATTTCATATTAGCAAATAGAATAAAAACTAGTCCTCCATGTCGGTGGATTCTTAAGACACTTCTTCTGAGATGAAGAATCATCTTTATAAAATGCTTAATATTAACCTATTCACTTACTTCATCAAAAAAAAGAAAATACTTAATATTAATCTAGAAAAACTAGTCGCCCATTCCGATACGGAGGAACTGGAAGAACGATAAGAGTGGAGAGTCAAGGTGAGTTCCCGCCATCACGAGTAAACCACTAGATCCTCTTGAGTTTCAGCCTCCATGTCCCTTCAGTATTGATTTCTGGAGTTCTGAAGCTGAGTGCTCAGTACCTCAGTGTCTTTCAGCTCTTCAATTTTGAGTTTAGTAGGAGGAATGTTGTTATTAGCCATTTTCTGCTTTCCAAGTTTTGTGTACATCGTGGTCACAAAAACAAAGCCTTTTTTAGCAAAAATCATCACCTGCCAGTTGATGCTTCATTTACACTCTGTTAGATACCTATTCCAATGCAAATTAATTATGTAGTGTCTTTTCATGTTCTTTTTTGCAGTGACGTTCCATCAAAAACTTCATGTTAGAAAATATGAAAGGACGTGCTTTAAATTATTATAGATATTATTTGAATAATAAAAAATCCAGTAGTTTGCCCTGAAGTTCAAATTTTCGAAAATAACATTGAAATTGCTAAATTTGGAACTCCGGGACATTATAATGGACTTCGAATCTGGACAAGTGAATATCCTGCAAATTGCCCTGGTGTTAAAAAATTCTAGCAACAAAAACTAGACACAGTTTTTAAAAAGCATATAATTTTGCATTAATATATCTAACAAAATGATACTAAGAAGAGCACAATTTTCATTGCAGAACAGTGATTTTTCAAAAAAACCTAATGATAAGGATAACAAATTGATCCTTAGAATAGCAGCATTTTCAATGCACAGATTTTTTTTAATTAAAAGCCAAGAACCCAAAGATCAGCGGGATCACCAAAATCAGAGATGATAATAGGGGACTCAACCAACAGACCACATTCCCTATGAGCAAGTTTAATACGACATTAATCAGCATCAAACTGATACAAGAGTGTTTCTAATTTGTCCTGAAAGGGAGCAACAAAGTGCACTTCTTCATTCTTAGACATGGTCGCCATCAAAGACTAGTTCCTCCCTCATTTTGTCGAAAGAGCCTTTCACTGCTATCAGGTTTTTTAGACATTTGTTCCAACTAAAAAAAATAACTATTAATTTGTATATGTTTCTCATAAAGAACAGCCAATGTTAATACCTACCACCTGCACATTGATTTACTCTACATTAGTAGCATTTCTCAATGCAAAATAAATGAAAATAGTGTTTGTATTCAATTCGTCTTATCATTGATAACGGCGTATTAATAAAATACATGCTCCAATTGCAAAAGAAAAAAAATCACTTAAAACTGATGCATGTGATGTAAAATTTTACATTTCATCATTGTATCCAGGATAGTAGCTTGGATTTCAAAATTCTATAGTTAGAACCCTAAGATAGTATCTGAATTTTCCCACTTCTGCATTCTGGAATTCAAGATAATATCCTGGAATTTCACACTTCAGGATCTCACTAGATTCTAGTACCCATTATTTTTTTAGGAGTTTTGAACTTGAATGACAAGACGATATATGTTTATGACTGTGTGGTTCTAGCTATGGAAGTTTTGATATTCAGGATACTCTCTTGGATTTCTGAATGCTGAAGTGTGAAATTGTAGCACTTTTTTCTGAATATCACCTGTAGTAGTTGTAAGTAAAAGTTTGTCTTTTGCAACTGAAATAAGTTGACTGAATATCAACTAGAGGATTTTTTTTGTTGATATCCTGAGATGTAAATATGACACATACATAGTGAAAGGAGAGAGTGTATGGGAGTAAAAATTCCTCTCATTTGCCGATAATTTTTATCGGATGTTTTTCATCTAATATGTTGCTCGCTGTCTCTGACCGAGGGTCTCCCGTAAACAGCCTCTCTATCCTTCCGGGGTAGGGGTAAGGTCTGCGTACACTCTAACCTCCCAGACCCCACTAGTGGGATTCCACTGGGTTGTTGTCGAATATGTTGCTCGCATTTACAAGTTTGAGTTATTAGTTGTTAACTCGTGGTTTTCTTATGCTAGTTGATGTATACTTATTCTGGTTCTGTGATTGTGATTTATAATCTGGAAAACTGGTAGAAACCTTTGTGTATTTACCTGACTAGTTCTTGTTCATGTAGTGTGAAGCTAATGATGGGGCCTGCACCACATACTCAACTGGATGCTGATTTGGCAGCTGGAATGGGCATGCCAGATAATGGTCCGAAGCTAATGTCAATGAGTTGAACTTCCCCTTTTCGGTTTCTGTCTATGTATCTCCTTTGATACTAATTTACTTATATGAGTTCTGTAAATGTTTTGACAGTTTCTGTAAGGAACTAGTAATGTTGCTAAATTTTGTTTATGACTGCCTTGTTGGCTGTTCTTCATGTGTCCATGATTCCCAGCTCTGCTCGTAGTGTCCGAAATTTTGTTTCTTTTGCGTCAACAAAGGGTTCCTTAAAAGCCATCTTATTGTTTAGTTTCTTCCTCCCTCAGTAATTTTGGGTCGACGGAAAAGGTGCTTATTTCATCAAATGGAAGTTCTCTGAAAAAGGTCGTATTTCATTCCGCTTATGAAAGTGTCGATATTGGTTCTCTTAGTTATCTTTGAATACAATCACATAATATTGCTTCATTTCTAGTTTGATATTTCCCTTTTTGTTTTGTTTAAAGGACATTGATACCCTTTTATATTGGAAACTCTATAATCTTTACATTGCGATATGTTAAGATTAGTGACATCAGTGATATGTTATTAATATAGAATGGATTGAGTGTTTTAATTAGTTGCACTAGATTCTTAATCATTTAATCATTCAACTTTAACCATTTCATGGAATTTATTTTAAATACAACAAGTGGTGTCCTGAAAGTGGGGATGGCAATGGGGCGGGGCGGATGCGGGGCGGGTTTGAGCTTAACCCACAAAATTTCTAACCAGCCCTGCCCCGCCCTGTGTCAACCCGCCCGCCCCGTCATCACGGAAATTAATGAATTTTATGGCTTTGATTTTATTTTATTTTTGAATGAAAAAGTTTGAGACATCAAAATTAACAAAAAAATCTGATCTTTTCTTTCCATAAGAACCAGAAACCTTCATACTCAATTTCATTAACAGATTGGATCAATTTTTCTTCCAAACATTGTTAGTTTCAAAATGTGAAGGAGAAAACCCACAACCCGCCCGCCCCGCGTTAGATTTATTTAGAAAAGGTTCAACCCGCCCCGCACCCGCATAATGCCAAACTTGCCCCGCCCTACATAAGTCCAAACCCGCCCCGCCCCCGTCCCGTCCTATTGCCATCCCTACCTGAAAGTGTAGTCTTAAATCTATATAAAGCATAAAAAATTCACCAAAATAAACTATTTAAAATTTTACAAAATATGTTCTTAACTAATTTCACGATATGCAAATTATGAATAAATTATGACCACATATCGCTCAAGAGTTGGAAAGGAGGTTATCGGCTGTGGGAGCCTGGAGGAGTAGTAGAGACGCAAACGATATGTGGTCGACAACGGCGGATTGTACAAGGGAGGCAGCGGGAGAGGTGTTGGAAGTCTCGATGGGTTACTCTGGCGGATACAAAGGCGACCGGTGGAGGAATGAAGTGGTCCAAGGTAAAATGGAAGCAAAGAAGGCGACGTACCTGAAGTTAGTAGGGAGCACATGCGAGGAAGAGAGGAGAGCGATCAGAGAGATGTATAAGGTAGCTAGGAAGGAGGCGAAGCAGGCGGTCACGGAGGCTAAGACTGTGGCTTTTGATCGTTTGTACGAGGAACTAGGGGCCAAAGGCGGGGAGAAGAAATTATTGTAGCTGGCCAAGGCGAGAGAGAGGAAGGCTCGGGATCTGGACCAAGTGAGGTGCACAAAGACGAGGATGGTAGAGTATTGATGGGAGAGGCCCAGAAAGCGGAGATGGCAGACTTACTTTCTTAAACTTCTGAATGAAGAAGGGGATTGGGATATTGTGCTAGGCAAATTGGGGCATTCTGAGAGTCACCGTGACTTTGGGTACTGTAGGCACATCAAGGTTGAAGAGATTGTGGGGGCTATGCGTAAGATGAGCAGGGGCAGAGCTACCAGACATGACGAGATTCTAGTAGAATTTTGGAAGTGTGTGGGTAGAGCAGGAGTGGCTGATTGAGTTGTTTAATGTTATTTCTAGGACAAGAGAATGCCGGATGAGTGGAGGTGGAATACGGTGGTTCTGTTGTACAAGAACAAAGGTGATATCTAGAGTTGCAACAGCTATAGGGGTATCAAATTACTGAGTCATACCATGAAAGTTTGGGAGAGGGTGGTAGAAACGAGGGTGAGGAGGACGGTGTCTATATCTGACAACCGGTTCGGGTTCACGCCGGGTCGTTCTACTACGGAAGCTATCCACCTTATTAAGTGGATGGTGGAACAGTACAGGGATAGGAAGAAGGATCTGCACATGGTGTTTATTGATCTAGAGAAAGCATATGACAAGGTTCCTAGAGAGGTTCTTTGGAGATGCCTAGAGGCTAAAGGTGTGCCGAGTGCTTACATTAGGGCGATTAAGTACATGTATGATGGAGCTAAGACTCGGGTTAGGACGGTGGGAGGCGACTCTGAGCATTTTCGGGTTGTTATGTGGTTACACCAAGGATTGGTGCTCAGCCCATTCTTATTTGCCCTGGTGATGGACGCACTAACATACTATATTCAAGTGGAGGTGCCATGGTGTATGTTATTCACTAATGACATAGTTCTGATAGACGAGACGCGAGGCGGCGTTAACGAGAGGCTGAAGGTTTGGAGACAGGCCCTTGAGTCTAAGGGTTTCAAGTTGAGCAGGACTAAGACGAAATATCTTGAATGCAAGTTCCATGCCGAGCAGAGGGAAGCGGGCATAGACGTGAGGCTTGGATCGCAGGTTATTCCCAAGAGAGGCAGTTTCAAGCACCTTGGGTCTGTTATCTAGGGGGATGGGGAGATCGATGAGGATGTCACACACCGTATAGGGGGGTTTGGATGAAATGGAGTTAGCATCTGGAGTTTTGTGTGACAAGAAACTGATACCGCTACTCAAAGGTAAGTTTTATAAAGCGGTGGTTAGACCGGCCATGTTGGGGCTGAGTGTTGGCCAGTTAAGAACTCACATGTCCAGAAGATGAAAGTAGCAGAAATGAGGATGTTGAGGTGGATGTATGAGCACACTAGGATGGATAAGATTAGGAATGAATATAGTCAGGAGAAGGTGGACGTGGCTCCCATGGATGACAAGATGCGGGAAGCGAGGCTCAGATGGTCCGAGCACGTACCTAGATGCCCCAGTAAGGAGATGCAATCGATTGGCATTGGTGGATCTAAGCAGAGGTAGAGGGCGGCCTAAGAAGTACTGGGAGAGGTGATCAGGAGGGATATGGCGAGGCTTTCTCCGAGGACATGGCCCTCGATAGGAAGTTGTGGAGGCCGAGCATTAAGGTTGTAGGTTATGAGGTAGTTGAGCATATTTCTAACTCGTACCAGTGTGAGGCTAATCTGATAGGATTTTATCTTAGACTGCTAGTGGTCAATGTTGTGTTCACACGATGCTTTCGTTTTCATAGTGCCGGGCCTTATTTACTGGTTATTGTTTTTGCTTTCATCTATTTACTGGTTCTTGTGATGTTGTTAGTATTTCTATGATTTTTATTGATGGTACTGATATATTGTCTCTTTTCGTCTTCTTGAGCCGAGGGTCTATCGGAAATAACCTCTCTACACTCTTGGAGTAGTGGTAAGGTCTGCGTACACTCTACCTCCCCATACCCCACTTGTGAGATTTTAATGGATTGTTGTTGTTATTATGCTAAAAAGTATTTTTGTATGTATATATTTACAAATATTAGACAGCTTAGCACTTAATTTTTACTATGAAAATAAATTTAATTAAAACTTTCTACAGGTATATAATTAGGAAATTACCAATAATCAGATAATCATAAAAATGTTTCGAATTAAGAGAAATTTAATGAAAAGATTATTGCTTGTTTATTTCAAAATTCGAACTACTTATTATGCACAACATTAATGCGTGAATTCGTTATGCTGAAGTTAAACAATGTGGAAAGCAATATTTCCTGATATTTTCCTGAACCATTTCATTAGAAATCATGCATCCAAAGACAACTCTTTTAAGCACATCTTTTTTTCCCCCAAAAAATTCTTTCAAAATAGTTCATGCAAAAGTTATCCAAAAACGTAAAAGGCAATAGGATCAACCGTTTCCGACCCGGTTCATCTCCTATAAGAATCCTGTTAACCACCGTCCCCAACGTAATTAAACCGATTTTTTTTTGTCGACGTGCCATCCTCAATTCCTGTGGCGTCAATTTCTTCTCCTTTCCTTTTTCTCCCCCTTTTCCCCCTTTTTTTCTTTTCCCTCTTTACTTTTCTCAGATTCCGATCATTTTCCTTCCCCGATTCCTCCCTTGAGATTCCTCCTCCCGTCCGAACAATGTCGAAGATCGCCGTCGTCTGTTTCTCCTCCGTCTCTTCTATTCCTCTCCTTAAAGAACCGCCGTGTTCCTCCGGTTGCTCACCTTTGCCTTATCGTAAACCGCCGCTTTTCTCGAGTCAATCGTCGATCCGCTCCATCCGGTTCGTCACGAAGGCGTCCGGTTCAGGCGGTTTCTTTGGCGGTGATGCACTTGGACCTTATCCTTGGGAATCTTCTGACTCTGATGATCCTTGTATGTGCGTCTATCTCTTGATATTTTTAGTTTAAAACTTAAAAGCAAAAAATTACCTTTTCTTTTTTCCTTTTTGCTGCTTGATGTTTGAGATGTTCTTCTCTACCGTTCATTTTAGCCTATGATGATATCAGTCAAAGCTTCTCAATCTCAAGCTAGCTGGATTCGGCTATATGAATTTTGTTTAAATATATTTGATCTGTTTCAAGTCTATTTTATTTCAATACTATCTTCTGAATTTATTTTTAAGGCGAATTAGGCTTCAGTTCTAGATGATATTTAAATCTTACACTTATCCTGCGCTAAGGCCCATATCCAAAATAAAAGAGACTATCAAATATCAGACAATCAAATATCAGACTTAAGTGAGATGTAGCAACAACAATTGAGCTTAATTCAACTAGTTGGTGTCATGTATCATATATAATGAGTCGAGGAGCTAGAATTTATGCTAGGTGGTTCAAAAAGAAAAACTAAAATGTCAGATTTCTTATTTGGACCTGTGACCTAAAGCAATTTCTAAATTCACATTTGCCACTGCACTAAAATCTTCCTTTATTCCAAGGGGATTCTAACAATTTATATATAACCAACAAATTTATTTTTTCCCTACTTGCGCAACATAATTTTTTCAACCAAGGAGATTCAATGGAACCCCCTTGGCTCTATATGCTCCGCCCCGACAAAATT